CAAGTTTGATCAGGGTCAACGATATATTCCAGAACTTTAGAGAGTCGAAGAGAGAGAACTTTTGAGCATAACTTATAATCAACGTTTAAGAGGGAAATCGGACGCCAATTTTTCAGATTCTTACGATCTCCTTTCTTAAAAATAACGCGTGTGTTGCTCATCTTCATGGAATCACACATCTCTCCGGTTTGGTAGCATGCATTTAAGACTCGACATAAATGTGGAGCTAAACGATCCCAAAATCTAGCGTAGAATTCAACCGACATACAAGGCTGTTCTTACCTGAAGGCAAAGTTACCCCACAAACATCACAGGAAACTTGTTTACCTCTTAACCCACACAGTTCCGCCATATTTTCTTCAAATAACGCGGGCTCTGATAACGAGGGTTGATGGGAATAATAGATCCAGTCCATTCTCGTTTGCTTCCAATGCCTGATTGTTTTAACTTTCGTTCTGATCTTCAAACATGACTACAGATTCGTGCTCTGCTTGCAAAGTCAGTGCATGTGCTGAGGGGGGTAACAAATACAGCCGATTTCAACCACGTCGACCGGTTCTTTAAAGAGGCAGAGAGCGGAAGATTATCAGAGCTTTACACCAAAGTCGGCGAAGAAACTTCGGAATACTCAAAACGCCTATGCTCGACAGAGGCCGGCAAAGACTTTAGAACTTTGTCCGAGCAAAGCGCGAGAGAAAGCTATTCAAAGGAGTTAAGAACTCGCAAAAGCGTGAAATGCACAGCAAAAGTCAGGCCGATGAAGAAAGAGGTACTGTTCCGAATTGCCAGGCGCTCAATCGGCGACTCGCACGATAGTCAGTAAATCAAAGGTTCTAGACCAGAGCGACTTTTGAAAAATGTATCAGGTTTATGACAGCATCTGTGGACTGGTTCAATGTCTGGGAATAAGCAAACGATTCAAACAATGTATTAAAATCGTTCCAATAGATGAGGGATATTGTAAATATCACCTGATTAACGACCATTCTTAACTTAAACTGATTTATAACTCATAACCGCAGTTCATACATATGTTTCATATGTTTGTTGTTGTTTAAAATGATTTCTTCAAAGAAAAAATAAA